TTTTTTTTGTTTTTCTTTTTAAAACACTCTTGTACTTTGCCTTTCAAAACAAAACGTGACATTTTAATAAGTAAGAAAGCAAATGCTTTTCAGAGGAAAGTTGTGTTGTAGAGAGAATGTGCAGAAAAAGGCAGATTGGAATGTTTCATCATTATGATTTTTTTTTCCCCCAAGATTAGTTTAAATGTGTGGTCCGTGTAAGTATTTGCTTTCATCATGGTTTTCATCATCATTATCACCTGCACTCTTGAAAATACTGGCAATAATATTCAAGCTAGTTTAAAACTATTTCAAAGAGTTTTAGTATCTGTTAAAAATATAAAACAACATATACAACTATACAGACCCATGTGGTTAGATTTTGGATCTGTAACCTTTGCCTTTCCATCGATTAAGAATTGGGACTGCTGTAAGCATTTTGATGGGCGGGACAATACTGAAACAGTATTTGGCTCTCACTCCTGTACACCTTCCCTGAAAAGACTGTAGGGAAAAGGAGAAAGGATGTGAGTAGTTCATACACTCGCTGCCATTGATTCTGCTGTCCTTGTCACTTTGTTTTCAGCATTTAGCACAGAATCTCTTTCAGCAATAACTTCCTTTTAAGCGTATAGTAGTTCCTCCGTTTGTCCCCCAAAGTTGTGTGAATACTTTTGCTTATTACACAATTTCCAAAATTCAGGAAAGCCTCTTTCCTTTTTAGACTTAAATTTGCATCTGTAGCTTGGAAGTTTGAATGTTTTTCGTGTAAAAAACTGGTAGCTCTGTTTCCTGGAGTGAGTGATATCTTTTCAGAGCTCATCTGTAGTGGCTAAGATATATGTGTGTATACTCTAAAAAGTGTGCGTACTTGATATACTAGTGCAGTGGGAGCAGAAAATGTACTCCAGGTGATCATTGTATGAATTTTGCTAAGAGTGAATATAATATATCTTCTGATAAATAGCTAGAATAAGGAGCTGCTTGTAATCAAAATTTTAATCCAAATTATCTGGTAGGATAAGTTCTATTTTGAGACAGGTCAAATAATAAAATGTAGATGTCTGTGTATATATATATATATATTTTTGTGTGTGTGTGTGTGTGTGTGTGTGTATCTTTTCTTTTTCAAAACAAGTTGATTTGATTCATGCCTTCATGTAAGAACTAATTTAATTGTTGATACTGAAAACATCCATGTTAAATACCACAGATCATTGCAAGTGTAAATTCTGTGATACAGTTTGTAGGTCTTATGGTATTTCAGAGAACAAACAGGTAAATGTGGCCTGGGAAGGCTTCAAGAAAGAGGAAGGCCTGAAACTATGCTTGAAGGTTTAGATTAGTTGGAAGGAAGTAGTGGTTATTTGGGGGCAGAGGACCATCATAAAAAATACTTGGATATTTTAAATTCAGCCAGTTTAAATCACTAAATGGGAAGACTGAATTAGTTGGATTTTCTGTTGCAGAACAAAGAAATTCAAGGTCTGTTTCCCCAAAAGAGCATTCTTAATTGTTTGATGTTACCTTAAAAGAATTTTTGAATATCTACTAAAAGAATTGGTCTTTTTACTAACTAGATCTGTCATTTATTTATGTTTTTGAAACTGGTCATATGGTTTTTTCTCAGAAATTCTTTCAGTATAGAAGTGTGAATTTGAAAATGAAAGTCTTACAACAGTTATCCCAAATCCAGGGATATCTCTGTAACTGTTTAATCTGTTATATTTAAAGGGAGGAAAGTATTTGATTCTGTATAACTAAGTTTAGAAGAAAAATAGGACTTATCAGGCCTACTTGCTCTTAATTTTCTATATTAATTGTCTAATAGATGTTGTATCTCTGAGTACATATCCAACTTGAAAAGTAAAACCAAGCTTATTTTTGATGTTTACCAAGCTAATCTAGATTAGTAATACTAGTTTCTCTGTTGAGAAGAATTTTTTGTGTTTTAAATCATTTAGAATAACCTATAGACACATTTCTGACTACTGTAATATTAGACATTCTAGTCAGTGCCTCAGGTTAGGTTAATACAGTACTTTCCTTCAAACATTATTTGATTCAGGGTTAGAATCTAATTTTAGTTATTTTCAAATCTTAACATTTTTAGAACTATAGTTTTTTTGTTTTTGTTTTTTGAGATGACTGGTAAGGAGATCTTAACCCTTGACTTGGTATTGTCAGCACCATGCTCTCCCAAGTGAGCTAACCGGCCATCCCTATATTGGGATCCGAACCCATGGCCTTGGTGTTATCAGCACCACACTCTTCCAAGTGAGCCATGGGCTGGCCCTTGGAACTATAGTTTTGAAAATAGGAAATGTTAACTTAGAAAATCCAGTTTAAAACATATTTGATTTTTAAAATTTTGACTGATCTATCCTCTTTTATTTTTCTTTACATATTTTCCTTAGATGTATTTAAACCCTTTGACTATAGGTTCAAAATTCTGTTTTATTCTGAAACCTTGAAGTTCATCCTTTACTGACTATGATTCATCTTTCTTTCATACCTAGGAAGATACTCCTGATATGCACTTCTTTTCAGAAATGAAAGTTTGAGTTTGTCCATCTTTGGTCAGATTTTCTTTGTTCCTGTGTAATCTTCAAAGTTATGGAAGGAAGCAGGATTTAAGTTATACAAACGTTATTTTCACCCCATTTGCCAGTTCTCTTTTTTGGTTCTTTCCTCAGTTTTCTTGTCCTTTTAAACCCTAAATATTAAAATCACAAAGAATAGTGAAATCTAATTATTGAACATTTGTTTTCTTCAGATGTTTTATAAAATCATGAAATAGTAGAGGTGAAAGTACAGTTGGGTTCCACATCCATGGATTCAGCCAACCTCACATTGAAAATACTCAGGGAAAAAAAATCCATGAAATTCCAAAAAGAAAACTCAAATTTGCCATGCACTGAGTACTACGTTAAATCCGTGAGAGTAAAGTGATGTATAGGCATTGTATTACATACTATAAGTAATCTAGAGATGATTTGAAGTATGTGAGAGGATGTGCATAGTTTATGTGCAAATAGTACACCATTTTGTATAAGGGACTTGAGTATCTGCGGATTTTGGTATCCTGAGAAGGTCCTGGAACCAATCTCTCACAGATACTGAAGGATGACTGTAATCTTAGAGATTACCTAATTTTTATGAATTATAAAAAGTTATTTTTATTAGTTATATCTTGCATTGTAAATAATTTTAAATGGCTTTTGGGGGGGTCTTGAGTTTAGGCTTTTTATCTAGAAACTCGGGTTGCATTGTGCTTCACTTTTTGTCTTAATCATGAGGTAAAATAGACATAATCTCTTCGGATTTTACTTTCAGGTCTCACAAATATGATTCTTGAAAACAGTTTGGTTTAAAATAACTTCAAGCTGGCTGGTTTGCTCAGTTGGCAGAGTGGTGTTATAACACCAAGGTCAAGGGTTTAGATCCCAGTATCGGCCAGCTGCCAAAAATTAAAAAATAACTTCAGTATTTGAATGCTGGGTTTTTTTTCTTTCAGATTAGAAAATGCTTTTTATGAACATGCACAGACTTACTATTACACTGAGATCAGAAGAGTGAAATCCCATAAAGAATTTTTGAATAAAACAACACACCAGGTACGTGTTTTTTGAAATAATAGAAGCATTCTAGAGCAGATTATCCATTATTGATTATTTTGAGGCAATTATTACATGTCTTTATACTTTGATGTTTTAAATGACTTTAGTACTTCTAAAGTTTTATAAAGCTTTTAAAAACTACTTCATTTTTAAATTAAAATCTTTGCTCTTAAAATTATTATTTTTTGTTTATTTTTGGTTTTTTGTTTTGTTTGGTCTTAAAATGAAATTTTATTAATATTATTTTTTACATTCTATGATGTTGTTGCAGAGCAGTTGGGAGGGAGGGGGAGAGGGGACAGGGGAAGGGAACGGGATGGAAGAAAGAGGGAGGAGGAGGGGTGGGATTGAGGCCTGTGGCACCCCCTCATTCCCACAGGGAAGACCAGGGTGCTTCCAGCGGTGCCTTGGTCATTGCTGGGCTGGGTGCAGATGTCAGCGGGGTGTGGAAAAGCTCTCACCCCCCAACCGTCCCAGCTAGGGAACCCAGGGCCCTTCTTGCTGCGGCTTGGTGGTCATCACTGGGCTGGCTGCACGTGTGGGGGGATGGGGAGCATGCCTGAGGTGCTCTTAAAATTATTAAGTACAAAGTTATTAAGGTTTTTATGGCCTTCTTAACTATATCCTTGTTTGTTGGAATAATTTTTGAGTTTTAATTTTGAATATTTTCCTTTATACTCTTATTTCTCTGTGAAGTAAACATTACTATAATTTTCACATTTTAAATAGAATATGTATAATGATAATGATTTTTTTCTATCCTTTTTTAGCTTTTATTTGTTAGACATCAGTTCAAAATAGCCTTCTTCAGTGAGTTGAAACAAGATACACAAAATGCTCTGAAGTAAGTTTCTAACAGTTTTCAAGCTAAATATTTTTTATCTTTATGTTAACAATTACGTATTAATGGCAATTTCTGAATCTCATCCAAACTTCAATTTATTTTAAAATGTTGGGGCTGGCCAGTTAGCTCAGTTGGTTAGAGTGTGGTGCTGATAACACCAGGGTCCGGGGTTTGATCCCTGTACCAGACA